GAATAATTTATTGGACATTTAGACATTAAGTGTTGTTAAGACACATTGCTGACCTTCTTGTTTCAATGCAAAACTTTCAGCTTGTGAAATGTCCTTCTTGCAGCATTTATCATTCATTAACTGCTCAGCAATTAATCCCAAATAAACTTTACTTTTATCATTATAACAATTTGGATCATTAAAATTAAATTTATAAAGATTTTCTGCTTTAGCTATTTTTGAATATTCTAGTTTCAAAATTTACATTTATTACTTTCCTTCCCTTATATCTTACTTCACGTGCGTCGGAGAGCTGCGCATTTCACATCATTCGCATAACTCAGTGACGTGCATCTACTCTAAAATTTGCATAAATTTCTGACCACTCCTTCTTGGTGTTGCATTTTCAATGTCAAGTACATTACATTATTACAATTACTGAAGGCAATCATTTACAAGTTTTAAGATATCTTCAGAAAAAAAGGGAATAAGTGGTTTATCACTTTGATAATATTCAAGGAAAGGCAATAATATTTTCGACAGAGAGAGAAAAAAATTCAATTTTATAAGAAATGTTTTATCTTTAGTTGCCTCCAAAATATTCAAGAAAATTTCGATGAATTTTTTTTAAAATTCCACATTTCAACTTCTTTAATGTACAGTAGCAAGTCATCCCATATTTCAATGGCTCTTTCAATTGCTGGGACATTTTGCAACCATCCGTAAAAGCAGAACTTCACAGGTAGCTTTTTTAAGCCAGATATACTTTAAAAATCTTCACGTCTTGCAGGAGAATCTTTAAAAATCCAATATAAGGAGGATAAGAATGATGGAATGTCCCAGCCAGTGGATGACATCCTATGCTTGAAAGCATTGTTAAAAATGTGTAAACCACATGTCCCTAATGTCAAGCATTGAATGTTATATTCCTTTGTCAAGTCCTGTTGCAATAAATCATAAAATTTCCAGTTTACTGCAGGACCATCCATCGATATTTGTAAGAGTTTTGACAAGTCTAGTTTTTCAACACATTCATAAAATTTGGATAAAATAATTTCACTTGTTGCATGCCCTATAAATGCAGAAGTAAGGTACTGACCTTATTTTCGTGATGCCAGTACCTCACATAAATATCTGGTTGCTTCTTTTGATTTGTCAGATTAAGAGTCTAATAGTAATGTAAAAAACTCAGCATTTTTACAATGCTTTAGTAACAAAGTTTTAAAATAAGGGCCAAGATCAAAATAACAGATATAAGCACATTTCTTTTCACCCACATGAAAACTATTTTGCAATGGAACTATCCGGGAACATTTTAGTGAATAACGACCCAATATCATCGCACAATTTAAAAGAACAGTGGCTTTTGATGCACTTAAAAGCCCAAAATATTTCTGCATCTGTAACTTCAGATTTGAAAAGAAAAGAATTGATTTTATTATTTCCTACACTTATTGATGTTGAATTAGCAGTTACATCTTTTCCTGAAGTAGATGGTTCTTCTAACTTGACAAAATTCATGATACTGTTAGAAGAAACTCTGCAGTTGAGAAGGGAAAGATGTTTTGCAGCTAAAAGGGGCATTAATATTAGGTATGTATATGTATACATAAGAATATATACATTACTTTATATATATATATATACAGTACAAATCGAGATCGGACATCCAATATCTGAATGATCTAAAATCCGGACCTCAAAGCCACCACCAACCAATTTTTAGGGCTTTTTTGGAGGGAAGGGGTATGCTTTACGCATGCGCATTAGATTTTTTTTTTCCTCATCATAAAAAAAAATGCCAGAAATCCGATTCTTAATCTTAGTTTGGTGCTAAATAAAATATCTCATTATTGAAGAAATAATTATTTTAGCATAAATTTGTGTGATTAGTAACTTGACTCCATAGCTGCGTATCTGCTTGGCATAATCTCAAACCGAAACATTTGTTAATTTTACACCAACTAATATTTTATATCCTTGATGCCGAAATCGCGAATCATTATTTATTGTATTTTGCTTTCATCACCGCATGTTTATCAACGAATGACAACTTGAGTGATGAATCATGCAGCGATGCCAAATAACAGAGTATTATACGATTACAGATTTAAATTTAATGCGCTAAAATGTTGACAAGGGGAGATTTAGCAGAAATTTCTTTCCTTATGCTAAAAATAGATTTTGTTAATGATACTCATAGGACAAACGATTATATTTAGTGCTATTTGAATTAAGAATAACTGATTTGTTATTCACATAAAGCCAGAACCAGCTCCAGAGCTCGCATGGCCGCACCAGGCGGCAGAATTTAGCGAAAGTTAAACAGAAGTTTTTCATTGCAATGACAATGCCCAATCATCAATCAATTAACGGAGGGGGGCGAATCTGTAGTATGGTTCTAAATCCAGAAAATACAGCTACCGATAGTGAAGAAAGTAACAGAGAGGTTACTGAACGAGAAAAAATTTTGATTGACAAGTTATTCGGAATTCTCGACACAGCAATTACAGGACTTGAACAATGGAACTTAATAACTGAACAAGAAATTATATGTCTATAGTATTAGTCTAAAGTATTAGCAGAGAAAACAAATCAAACAACTCACATTGAAAGAAATGTTTATTAAAGTAAACATATAAATATTAAGCTCTTTTCTTTGGTAAATTTTGATACCCTTTAAATCATAAATGCTTCATTATTTCATAAATCACGATTTCATATTTTCAATTTTATAATTTCTACGTGCCATCTTAGTAGATTTAAAATGATCTAATATCCGGAAAAATCTCAAATCTAGGATCGCCGAAAGTCCCGACGAGTCCAGACCTCGGACTTTGTACACTGTATATATATATATATATATATATATAATACGGAATGTATATTTTCAGTTAAACTTCTACCCAATAACTTTAGTAATTCATGAAAGTTAATTTTGCGTCTAGTTAATTCAGGAAAATTAGTTTCAATTAGTTGTTTTCAGCTTTAAAAATATTTAAAAAATTTTTTAATTAGTTATTTTCAACTAATAATTGTATCGCCATTAGCAAAAATTATGCATTACTATCAAAAACATAGGTTTAAACCAAATACTTAATTGTCTATTGAAGCTTCAAAACGTATTTCCGAACTTCACTTTTTCTCAGCTAGCGTTACCGAATTTGCCCTTGGCGACCTAAAATCGAAATGGAGCCAACAGATTTCCCGCGAAATCGATAACAGACAGACCCTCTGCAGAAATAAACTCATAATCCCGATATCCCATACATATAGTATGTGCAAAAGAGAATAAACTCCGTAGAAGGTGATAAAAAATTAATTTATGGCTTAATTGAAACAAACACAGAAATTAAGCTAAGCAAAACCGTGTAAAAACAAATTGAAAAAACAAATGATAAAACGAAACTTAATTTTCATGTGAATTTTCAGTGCTGACTCTCCCATTCTAGAAATTTCAATTTGTTTCAGACAAAGACCACATTTAGCTTTTAAGGATTGCCATCCATCAATATCCAGTCTTTGTAGTCAGCTTGATGAAGCCACAGTTTATTGAAAATGCACTTTCCAGGCATCTCGTTCCTATTGGCGTCGGAAGGGTTGTGGCCTTCCAGGTTGGAATTGCTCTAATTTTGGCAAATATTTTCAGAATCCCCCCCCTTTTTTTTTTCTCGAGCACCTTCATCATCACTTTCGCCTCTTAAAGAACTTCCAGCTTCACGCTTTCGTCACAGTCTGCCTAAATTTATGGATAACACCTGTTTCGAAAGATTGCGTGAATAGCCAATCAGACACCGATACTTTCGTTCGGGTAGCTAATTTTTTTTTTTTTTAATCGTTTGCAATGCAAATCCGCCAACAGATTAGTTAAGAGCTGTGTAATTTTAATTCCATATTCATGAGAAATCGTAATTCACACTTAGAATGGCAATCATTAGAAATGATAAGAAATGTCAAATGAGCAAAATTAAGGACCGTTTATTCCATTTTGGCCAAAATTAAGGACTTTTAAGGACCAAAAATCATTTTGAAAAAATTAAGGACTTTTAAGAACCACCGAAGGTCATTTTATTCCAGATTGGAGGTGTGGATGAGATGCGATCGTTAGGGAACGAGTTTATCCAGTGACAGTCGCCGCATATGTGTGTGGCGTCGACATGGAGACAGATCTAATCCGGCAGTAACTGCGGAACGCCCCACCGCTCGACAACGTGGCATAATGTTTTGGGGCGCTATTGCCTACAATTCCAGGTCACCTCTAGTTTGTATTCAGGGCACTATGGCGGCCCAATGATACTTGGATAATGTACTGCGGCCGGTGGCAATCCCCTACCTTCAGGGGCTGCCTAATGCAATTTTTCAGCAGGATAGCACCCGACCACACAGTGCTCGCATCTGCCAACATGCTCTGGAAGGTATACAGATGCTTCCCTGTCCACTATACTTTCCTGACCTGTCACTAATCGAACATGTGTGGGATGTGATTGAACGCCGTTTGCAGACTCTGCCCTTGCCTCGTTCAGAAGACGAACTGTGGCAAATGATTGAAAGGGAATGGAGAACCATCCCTCAGGAAACCATCCACACTCTTATTGACTGCATGCCTAGACGTGTTTCTTCGTGCATCCCTGTCCGCGGTGGTCCTACATCTTACTGAGCTGACGCTGTTCTTGCTCTATTCTGACTATCATTTTGAAATAAAGATCACTTATTGCTGCTTGCTGTCTCTGTCTTTTTTCCAAATTTCATCAATTTCTGACCACTCCTTCTTAGTGTTGCATTTTAAATGTTGAGCAGTGTACATAAACCACATAGTGTATGTATGTGTGGGTGTATATATAGATAAAGATTGCATACCTGTATTAAGCATCATGCATTTATCATTTAACAACATTTTGCAAAACAGAATCACTTTCTAAACAGTATTCTAAGGTATAATTTGAAAATTCTTATTCTTCTTGAATCTTAAAAATCTTCTTGAAAAATTATTTTCATTACTATAATAAATATGGCCGAATTACCTCAGAATCTTCAATGGAAAATTCCTGCGGAACCCAGTTTTTATAGTTACTATTCAGTTGCTTTATTCTCCTAGATAATTCAGTTAGATATCTGAAAGCCAAAAATAAAATATTAAAAAGATCCAAAATACATTATATAAATTAAAAGGAATATATTAAAACTAGCATATTTCATTTTTACATTTCTTTTATTAAGTACTTTTAAGGACCAAAAATCATTTTTTAATTTATTTACAACATCCCAGCTTTCAATTTATGGCTCTTGCTAATATTATTACAACACTCAGTAAATACAAAATACAAGGAGAATACATCACTAAAAACAGAAAAAGTTTGTTAAAATTTTCTGTCATAAAAGAATTAAATTAAAAATGCCACAAATATCGGGTTTTAGCAAAAGTTTCCCTCACTGCAAATATCGTCCATGTAAACAGTTCACGTTGGCATATTTAATCATATTTTGTCAAACAATTTTTACCATTTGAAAGAAAAATACTTGCTTTAGAACACTGTGTTGTGAAATTTAGGAAAAAAATATCGTTATCATTAAATATAAGGTGCCTGAAATGGAACTATCATGCTACCAGATTAGAACCATCAAATACTTCCAGTTCTGTTGCAAAATGTCAGCTATAGAATGTCACCAAATCATGTGTACAGCATGAGGTACTAATGGCAATTAGGTTAGGAAAAGTGGAGTTTTGAGAAATCTCTGATTGAAAGCAAGTATTGTATGAAAAATTTAATGAAAAATAATTATGTCTAATCTGATTCTAAAATTTCAAGCTACAAATTGAAAATAGGCTTACAGTTCTCATGAATGGTGATGCATCTATTTAACACTGACACTATTCAAATTATGTATTTATTCAGCACATATTACATAATTGCTTGAAAACTTAAAACATGCATTTCATTTATTTAACCAGCTTAATCAAATCCTATAGTAGACAGTTACTGTTAGCTAAGTCTATATATCTAGGACACTATGAACTGAAAATATTTGGAAAGCATTGGTACAGTACATAAAATTTAACATTGTGAAAATAATTATTTAAAAATGAAAGAATACTAAGAGAACTGGTGGTAAAAAGGCATTAAATTATTACTTGTTTGGTAAAACAAGCCTAAGAATATTGATATTTAATTGCATGAGGGTAACTCTGAAATTTTTTAGATACAGCTAAATGGTACAAGTTAAATTTATTGAACCTTTAGAAAGGTGCAAAATAGTCACCTCTGACATGAAGCATTTTTGTAGTGAATTTTTCCAAGATTAAATGCTTCAAACCATTCACTTCCTGGAATAAATGAAGAATATGCTTTTACACTCTTATCAGTCTCATCGTTAGAACAAAAATGATGGCCACAGAATTGTTTTAGATTAAGAAATAGCCAAAAGTCACACATAGTAAGATCAGGAGAACAGAGTGGATGCTCTATCACTTTATATGTGAATGCTCCAAGAAATTTAATTGTCAGTCTTGCTGAATGAGAAGAAGCATTATCATGGTTGCCCTAATTTTCACTTTTTAAAAAAATTCTCTAGCTATAACTGTTTTCTGTCTAGCAAGTAAATAAGTTTATCATTATAAAACACTTTATGAAATATTAACATAGATTGCTAAAAATAATATAAGAACAAAAATTATAAATTCTGAATTTTTTCGAAACACTGTTATACTTTTAGACATGAAAATAAATATATAAAAATTCTGACACCAATCAATTTTAATAAGAACATACACAAAGACATACTTAGCTCTTTCAAAAATCAGATTCTGATTTGTCTCAATGAGCACAATTAAACCATTTCTTGATGACATTACAGAGTCTTCAATTTGTTTGACTGGTAAATCTAGACTAACATTACAATGCAGAGCTTCTTCAACTTCATACTTATCCAAATGCTGTAATACTCTTTTAGTTACTATAAAACAAAACTAAATCACTATCTTTCAATTGTAGCAAAATAAAAAAAAAGGAAAACAAATGGAAAAACAAAAAGCAATTCTTACGAGGAGTATCACATGCAATGTCTTTGCAGTTATCAACAGCGCTAACTGTCTTGTTATTCCATGGTCTTACTTTTTGATCAAGTTCTTCTTTTATCTGCTTTATAGACACTAGATCAAACCATACATCCTAATAAAAAGGAGGAAAAATATTAGAATAAAAAATCAAAGACTGAACAAATATATAATAAACACAAAAATACAAAAAGCCAGATTCATTGAAAATTTATACACTGTTACATCTTTTTGTCTAAACAATTCCCAATGAAACATTAATTTACATTCAATTTACACCCTTTCATTTGAAATCTAAGATGCAGTTTGATTAAAAATATTTCAGTGAATATTAACTTGCTAAAATGCAATGAAATTAAACTAAACTTACTGCCCAGACCATTGCCACCAAATTGATTTAACATTAAATTTTAAATCATCAACTATCAATTTTTCCTCTGACTATACATAACTTGCATAGTAATAATTGCTTAACATAATGCAGAATAAGCATATTCAACATCCAGCCTCAGAACTGGTTGATGCAGCCCACACTACATAGTCCCAAAATAAAAGAAACAACAAAGACAAGGACAACTCTCTCCCTTTTGGTTACAATAAATTTGTGAACATGATCTAAACTATATTTAGATCTTAGATCAGGAGGATAAAGTCACAAGACAAATTCCCATTACTTGTGCCCACCTAAATGAAATTGTGGGTACAAGTCAGATATTGAGTTTGAAAAAGAAAACTGGTGGGATAATTTTTTGTGGATAAAACTATTTACTTAAGTGACTTGAATAATAATAATACTGAATACCTTGTAGTTATGTTAACAATATCATCTATCCCATCTGCCAAGGATAAGCTTAAAAGACTAAAAGTAAATAATAAATGGAGATGCAAAGGCTGATGGATTTGAAATTGAAATTGTAGCAATTTTACATTAAGAGTAAAAATTTAACTATGTCAGTAACAAGAGAAAGAGTGCTACAATAATTGCTATTTTATCAAAAGAATAAGTACAGATCAAAACTTTGAATATCAACTGCAAGTCCACGTTTCTGCTACTCTTCTCATGACTGATATCAAATACATTATTTAAGAATTTATAAATGAAATGCAAGGAACTACAATAGGATGCACAATATCTATCTATCTACATATATACGAGTGGATTTTAATATGTTCTACATACTCAAAGTAAAATTTCTAGATTTTACAAATGCTGTACTTTTACGGTATCTCTCTCTCACAAACATGCATATTAACAAGTTTCCCTCCCCAGGGGTATATATTTTTTCTTTGAATAGCAAATTTTTTTTCTTTGAAGTATGAAGAAAAACAGGATTAAAAATTTTTAGACATATATCTTTGCGAAATTCTTCACGACTGCTCTAATATCTATGAAATAACTAGTGTGCAAAATTTATGCAACCTTTCTGACCTAAGCCATAACCCAACAAAAAATCAACAGGGAGACAAGAAATTCATACTACAGAGGCACAATGTAATCCTTAAAGGATGAGAAAAGTAAACTAGGAGGGAAAGCAGGACCCATACAGTATGGAATGAACAGAAAAAGGCTTTAGTGATAGAATGGTCTGTCTAAAAGGGAGAATGACAAACCTTAGTAAAGGATATGACCTCCCCTAACTGCAATGCTTGAGTTGCACCATTTGTCAATACTCAACACAAGATTATTTACCAGATCTTGGGTTAAGAGTTCCCCTTCTTCAAGGAGTATGAGTTTCGGTTGTCTGGTGTTGTCCAAAGGGTAAGATCCATTTGCCAGGCGTTTCCCTTAAGTATCCCACACGTATTTAATGAGATTTATGTAAGGGACACATTCTGTAGATATCTTTATTTTCCAAGAGGTCCTCAACAGCATGAATCCTATGTGACCATACATAGCAATCCATAAAAACAATATCAGGACCAATGGCACACCAGAAAAGACACATGTGGAGACAACAACATCACAGTAATGACCTCTGGAAAAGGAACCTCTATCAAAAATATGGAGCTTCGTTCACCCATTCATCATAATGCCTCCCCATACAAGCAGGCCAGGACTACTGCAACAGTAGTTGACATTAGTGGGATGAAAGCATGTCCCTATCTCTCTCCATATCAACTGGTGCCAAGGATCATTTGTCAGACTAAAATAACTCTAATTGGTAAAGAGGACATGACAGAGGGCAGACAAATTGGCTTTTTTTATGAGGTCATCTGGCTACAATGAATTAGGACACTTGTCATCCAGTTGCCGTGCACAGCTGCTGAGCAATATTGCCCACTGTCTGATTTCTATCCTTTCTTGCCTGCAGGGCGATATATCAGGCATCAGCCATCACTGTTTTTCTTGGTCGACACCCATTCTTACAGCTGCACCCCGATGCTTCGGAAATAACACTTTTATCAATTCCTAATTCTAGGGCATCATATGTTTAGCTATGCTCTACTTCAAACTTCGCAATCATTCTACTACCTGTAAAGGCATATTTATGTTTTCTTGCAGCCGTATTGTATATACAATCTCACTTTCACTTTAAGAAGAATGCCTAGAAATGTGCCTTCCTTTCTTTCAAGTTGCCATGCACTGACTTCTTGCTGACTTGCATTTTGCATGCTCTGACGTACCCACCGACATCAAAGTGTTGATATTTGCATAAGTGTCACCTTTCTACTGATTGCATGAACAATTCAACAATCGCAGGAATGTTTCAACAATTTCCTGGTTGTATGCTGAAAAATGAATTTGTTGCTGAAGTTTTGTACACTAGTGTTTATATTCAGCAGTATTAAAATGTAAAGTAAGAGTTTTATGTATTCACATTAAAAATGCTACATTCATATTTTTGCTACCAAGTATCTTTTGGATTAAAGCATAAATATAATTTGAGAAGTAACAGTAAAATAAAGGCTTTATTGTGACTGTTATAATAAATAATAAAGTCTATACATCGCAACCCCTAAAACATTTTAATTTACTCAAAATACCACGAATCAAAATTCTTTGCACATCATTAGTGAAGGTAAAGATAGTTTTTAACAGGTGTACTTTCCTCAACTTTTTTCTTTTTAATGTACTACGTACCATTACATTTTCCACTTTTTTGCAAAACATGATTTAATTTTTTCACTGCTAAAAAGAACTAGCTAATTTTATATTACACCATGCATAATTTATTTTCAGCTTTAATCTCTCATACACTCTATTCCATATAAATCAGTTATCAAAATAATATGCAAAATGTAGCTGCTTAAACATGCATATATCTTATTTTATGAAACTTTTATACCTGGTTTTGAGCAATTGAAATCATATTAAGTTATTAAAAGAATTATTGTACTCTTTTTTTTTAAAGAATTACTGTACAGTAGAAGTCTGATAATGAATGAAGATTTAGATTGCCTTCAATCCATGCTCATTTAGGGATGCAATCATACAAAATTTGATTTCCAGAAAATTAAACATTTTTTTTTTTTTTTTTACATGTCCATACTAACAAATGTTTTTATTGTAAAGCAAAAAAGTACACAATATTTTAAATATATTATGAATGAAGAACTAATTAAATGTACAGTCAAAAGTCGTTAATTCGGACACCCATAATCCGGAATGATCTATAATCCGGACCTCAAAGCTACAAACTTTCTGTGCATGCGTCGCATTGACGCATGCACGTAAGACCTTTGCGGCTGCGAATATGCTTGTGCGCGTGTGCAAAATATGTTTACGAGTGTACAATGTACAATGGACAGTATAAGCTAAGCTAAAATTATCTATTTCAGTTAATGTTGCAGATTGCGTTGTTCCTTAATCTTCAAATTGGATCCGGCTTATTATTTTTTGCAGACTATTAGAGCAATTTTATAAAAGTAAGCTTGAACTTTCGATTATGTGAAATAGAATTTCTAATATATATTTATTAATATGTAAAGGATCTACAAAGCGAAAGTACATTTCGAAGTTCATTAAACAAAAAGTGGAATTGCTGCAAAAAAATGGATAAAGGCATATCCTTTATTTATCTAAACTTTAACGTTTATTTATCTAAACTTTGTTTATCTTTAATGCCAGGGTGTGCAATGAATTGGAAGTTGATCTGTCAGCACTATCCTTATCTTCAGGGCAGATGTTTTTTATTTTATTTGGCTTATAATTCCTTATTAAATGTAGTATTTCATCTCGATGTACTCCGTCTTTTCATATGATTTAAATCAAATTCCTCGTTATTATAATTCGCTTCCGATAGCGAAGAAAGTGACAGAGGTTATTGAAAACGGAAAAATTTCGATTCATAAATTAGTGGTAGTCAGTAGACACAGCAATTACAGGACTTGAACAATGGAACTTTATAACTGAACAAGAAATTATGTCTGTTTATAGAATTAAAGAGAATGTATTATCACATAAAAAACGAAGCAACTTAAACAACTTACATTAAAAGAAATGTTTAATAAAGTAAACAAATAAATATTAAGCTTTTTTTTTTTTTTTTTTTTTTTTTTTTTTTTAAATTTTGATAACCTTTAGATCAGAATTGTTCTTTATTTCATAAATTACGGTTTCATATTTTTAATTTTATAATTTCTGCATGCCATCTTACCAGATTTAAACTGATGATCTATAATCCGGAATCGCCGGATTAACGACTTTTGACTGTATTATGAAAATTTTCAACATCTTCTGTAGGCAAGTCAGAGCTCTCATTTAACTGCACATAGAGACTGTTCATCTTTTTTTTTTTTATTTCAGATAAAGCCCTCACTTTGGAAAATAAATTCCTTTAAAATAAATTTTGAGTTCATACAGTGGAAATCTGTAAAGAATTTATGTGTCTACAACTTTTTACACAGAGTTTAACTTAAATGTAATTAGTAGTAGTGTTACATTTCATGCAATTAACAAGTTTGTTCATAATAGCTCTGAATGGGGATTTTGAAAAATAATGCTAGCAGACACTTTTTTTTTTTTTTTTTTTTTTTTTTGTTGTAGCCAAGAATAGTATTAGAACTTGAATAAACTCAAAATTTAAATTCTAGCATCTTTTGTAAATTACTAGTAATGTTAGTAGTTCAACTGCATATACACTGTGCAAAAAATAAAGGCACGGTTCTATGGCTCCCGTTCTAGTGGTAAAATGAAGGAAAATAGGTTGCTATAAATTGAAAAGTTCACCGAGTGAATTATTCTAGGCGCAACTGAAAAAATTCGCCAAGTTAAATTTATAAATTTCTCACCAAAAATTACAAGATTTAATATCCAGGCATAATTTGAGTCGTAGAATTGAAATATAGAAAAACATTGTTATGTTATTTCAGAAAATGTCCGATTTTGTGTCAAAATACCTATGTTAGAACAATGCTATATATAAATCTAATATATATCCCAAGTCACGCAGAGACATGGAAAAGTCAAGTTGAATTTCATCAATCTGCCCAATATAATGAAATATTTAAAACTGTCCCCCCCTTTTTTTTTGCATAGTGTACTTGTAATGTAATGGCAAAATTAGCACAGGATTAAATTTAAGGAAAATTTCATTGCTGAAAGTTTAACAGACAAAGCAATTATCTGTGTATTTATATTTTCTTTCATTTAAACTTCTAAGTCACTAGTTTGAATGAGAAAATTTACCTCATCATTGGTATGTTATTTCAGAAAAAGTCCGATTCTGTGTCAAAATGCCTATGATAGAACAATGTTATATATATATCCTAAGTCACACCGGGATATGGAAAACTTCAGTTGAATTTCGTCAATCGGCCCAGTAGAACGGGAGATATAGAACTGTCCCCCTTTCTCTTGTGCAGTGTACATGGAATGTAAAGGCAAAATTAGCATAGGGATTAAATTTAAGGTTTAGTTTAATTAATCAATTAATTAGTTTAGATGAGGATAGTAGACCGTGCAATTACTTGTGTATTTATATTTTCTTTCATTTAAACTTCTAAATTACTAGTCTGAATGAGAAAATTTACCTCATCAATAATTACAGGTCTTTTCATTTGATTTTCAAAGAGGAATTTCAGTTTGTGAGGACAATACTTTGGCTGTAATGCAGAAAGGCATACATTTGGCAGATGAAGATTTGAATCTTCAATCCAAATAAAAAAAGCTTCAAATAATCTGAAAAAAGAGAGAGAGAGAGTACTGTGAAAATTTGCTTTTGTAAATCAAATTGAAACTTCTATACACGTAATACCATACAAAGTTAAAATATGTCACTCATTTGATAATTAATAACATTTATGTTCAATGAATGAGATTTTTTTAGAAAATATAGAGGGTATTCACATATTTTTAGAATGATTTCAGGGCCATTTAAAATGTAAAAGAAATTATATATATATATATATACACAGTACAAATTCCGTAATCCGGATGTCCATAATCTGGAATGATCTATAATCCGGACCTCAAAGCCACAAACTTTTTTTGTATGCTTTACGCATGCGCATGCACGTTCGGAGGATGTGTCTCCAGATATGTTAAAAATGCTTGGCATATTTTGTAGCCAGCTACCATATTTCATGGTGAGGACAATGAAGATGATAGCTGTGAATTTGAAGGTTTTCGGACATCACAAACTAAAGGTGAAATTTTCCAGTTATTGGATTTTGTAAAGAAATGTGGAGAATAAATGAAAATGATATAACAGAAGTTTTTCATTGCAATGACAATGCCCCAATCATCAGTCAATTGACGGATGGTGAAATCTGTAGTATGGTTCTAGATGCAGGAAATATCGCTTCCAATAGTGAAGAAAGTAACAGAGGTTATTGAAAACAAAAAAATTTCGATTGACAAGTTAGTCGGTATTCTCAACAAAGCAATTACAGGACTTGAAGAGTGGAACTTTGTAACAGAACAAGAAATTATGTCTGTTTATAGAATTAAAGAGAAAGCATTAGCACGAAAAACGAAGCAACTTACATTGAAAGAAATATTTAATAAAGTGAACAAATATTATTATTATTATTATAATAAATTTTGATACCCTTTAGATCATAATTGCTCTTTATTTCATAAATTACAGTTTCATATTTTTAATTGTATAATTTCTGCATGCCATCTTACCAGATTTAAATTGATGATCTACAATCCGGAAAAACCCTAATCCGGAAACGCCGAAGTCCCGACGACTCTTTGTACTGTATATAATTTCAAATATATATATATTTAATCTGACACCGCTTCTTCAGAACTATAAGTCTGCATTGCGATTTTCATTATAGAAAGGGTTTTCTTAATATTTCCAGGAGTACAGATTTTCATTTTGTCCCTTTCCTTTCCAAAGTCTATCAATTGTGGTGGATTCAAACCTAAAAAAAGGTATTTTCACGACAGCAAGATATAACAGTCCATAAGTGAAGTGGCAGTGAAATTTGCAAGAATATGCTGAAAAAATATATATGTGACTTCTTCATACAATTCATACATGTCTTCTTCATACAATCTTCATTTTTTCAAGAAATGCAGTGGTATTTTTTTAAGTATGGCTTGTTGCTTTGTCTTGATGAAGTTTCATTCTTTGAAAGTAGCTAGGATAAGGACCTGGAATTTCTTCTGTAAATATTGGATGTAAAACTTTTTCTGTTAGTATGTTGAATTGTGTTTACCATTTTTTTCCCACTCTTCTTATTTTTTATTTCCCATTGTAAGAAAATCCCATGACAATCATAAACCTCTCACTGAGATGGCATTGATGGAACCAGGTTTGTAAATTCATTTTCTTCATTTTCAATAATAAATACACCTTTTTTTATTGCAGTCATTTAGGTAATGCTTCATTAATGGTCTCAATGTATTTCCATTTATCTTCTGCTAAATAGTTTTCATGCAAGATTCTACTAACTGTTCTGCGCTGAGCCATATGCATCAGCAAAAGGTGGTGAACATTGTGATTTTAGCTTTTTCAATTCATAAATCTTGGGTTACTATTAAATTTATTGTTGCTACAGATGTAATTAAAGACTCTACACTTGACTTTTGAATTGGTGGATTTTCTCTTCTTACCAACTATGTTACTTTAGAAACATTACACAGTTACAAAGTCCGAGATCTGGACTTGTCAGGACTTACGTGATTCTGGATTTGGGAATTTTCCAAATATTAGATCATCAATTTAAATCTAGTAAGATGGCATGTAGAAATTATAAAATTAAAAATGAAATCGTGATTTATGAAATAATGAAGCATTTGTAATTTAAAAAATATCCAAAATTTACAAAAACAACAACAACAAAAAATTATATTTATTTGTTTACTTTAGTAAACATTTCTTTCAATGTCTGTTGTTTAAGTTGCTTCGTTTTTGTGCTAATACTTTCTCTTTAATTCTGTAGACAGATATATTTTCTTGTTTAGTTACATTGTTGAAGTCCTGTAAGTGCTGTGTCAGAAAATTCCAACTAACCTGTCATCAAAATTTTTTCATTTTCAGTAACCTTTGTGTCACTTTCTTCACTATCAGAAGTGGTATTTTCTGGATCTAAAACCACACTACAGATTCTGCCATCCATTAATTGATTGATGATTGAGGATTGAAGAGCATTGTCACCACAATGAAAAACTTCTTTTATATCATCTTCATTTATTACCGTTTCTCCACATTTCTTTACAAAATCCATCAATTGGAAAATTTCACCTTGGTTTGTGATATCTGAAATCCTTTAAAATTCGCGGCTATCATCATAAAATTTAGCTATCGTTCACTATACTTATTTGGCTATGCATCATGAGATTGACAACTAATGACAAGTTGTTGGGCAAAATTTTATCTTGCTTCTATTACGCACTGAAACAATTAAGCCTGAACTGTATTAGTTTAGTAATTTATTATACTTATGTCTATTTCTTGCATACGCTTAAGGCTTATCTGAGTCCTGAATAAATAAATTCGCACACATTATAGTGCACATATACTTAAAGCTTATTGAGGGCCGGCGGTAGGATATCTTACTTCCTGATGCTCTGTGAATCCTAAATTCTGCTGCCAAGTGCTTTCCCTAAATTCTGCCGCCTGGTGTTGCCATACGTACCCTGACGCTTGCTCTAGGTTTATGTGAATAACAAATCAGTTACTCTTAATTCAAATAGCACTAAACGTAATCTTTTGGCCTATGAGTATCATTGAGAAAATCTATTTTTAGCATATGGAAAGAAATTTTTGTTAAATTTTTCGTCAACATTTCTTAGCGCATTTATCTGAAATCTGTAATCATCGCGAAGCATTATATCAACATAAAAGGTTACCATACTCTTTATTAATCAATTACTAACATAAAAAATTGTTTAGGCATCGCTACATGAGTCATTATTCAAGTTGTTATGTGTTGATAAACATGCGATGATGAAAGCAAAATATAATAAATAATGATTCGCCAGGTTGGCATCAGGAACATTAAATATTAGTAGGTGTAAAATCAACAATGTTATGAATGTAGAATATTTCGATTTGAGATGTATGCCAGCAGATATGCAGCAATGGAACCAAATTATTGATCATACAAATTTACGCTAAAATAATTTGTTTCTTCAATAACAAGACATGTTATTCAGTGCCGAAGTGAAATTCAGATCTGGAACTCTATACATGTTTTATCATGCGCAAAGGGGGGAATCAAATGTGCATGCATAAAGCATACAAAAAAAAAAGTTGGTGGTGGCTTTGAGGTCTGGATTTTAGAACATTTCGGATATTGATGTCCGGATCTCGGACTTTGTACTGTATACTTTTTTTTAGTATTCATTTGGAGTCCCCTTTTCATGTAGAAATAATGAAAGAAGGTTATTCCTATCCAATTAATGATGATGCTTATTTTGCATTTCAAAATTATAATATCATAACATTTCACAACATTACCATACATCAGATGGAATAGAAACATTTCTCTAAGGAAAGCACAAAAACATAGCCTTCAATCAACAGCTTATTTATATGCTTCATTTTGCAGGAAAAATAAATTTAAAAGTAACAGATTTTATTTCTCATTTCAAATAATAAGCTGTTACCAGATTTTTTATTCCAAAACATTTGCTTTTTTAAAATTCT